AAACCATTCCTCAAAGTCATGTTTAATTTCCTTTTCAGCCAGGAGTCAGGGCTTTAAGAAAATGATTCACTGCACTTAACAATATGTCAAGAGAGATGAGTCAAATGTTAATGTGAAATTCTAGGTAACTGTTTTCCATCACTGTCATCAGTGAGCAGCAATGCTTACCTTACTCTCTGGAGATCTAAATCTTATTTGATTGTTCTGACATCATGCTAGGCTAGTGACTATGATCCTCACAAACCTTCTTACTGCTCTTCTTGCCACTGAAGATGTGTGTGTGGGGTGTGTGTGTGTGTGTGTGTGTGTATGTGGGTGTGTGTTTCCTGATGTATGTACTTACAGTACACAATCCCCCAAAGTTGAGGTAGGAGACAGGGATGATTAGGCAGACCACAGAGGATTTTTAGGACAGTTAAAATACTCTATATCATACAATAGTGCTGAATACATATCATTACATATTTCCCCAAATCCAGAGAATTTACAAGACCAAGAGTGAACCCTAAGGTAGACAATGGACCCTGGGTGATAATGATGCAATGTCAGTTCATCATTTGTAACAAATGTACCCTTCTGATGGAGGATGGATGTTGATGACCAGGAGGCAGTGCACATGGGGAGGCAGGGAGCATATGGGAAATCTCTGTGCTTTCCCCCAAAGTTTTGCTGTGAACCTAAAACTACTCTATAAAAATAAAGTCTTCAAAAAAAATAAAAATATAAAACAGTTCCCAGGCACGGACATTCTTGACTTCATATACCATAGCAGTGGCAGATGGATAAATTCCTCTTTAATATCTCATATTAAATAGAATATCCTCCAAGGGGAAGGAGAAAAGAGTGAAGAAGACAAAATGATTTTATGAAGTTTCCCTTCTAACAGGTGAGCGGAACTCAAAAACTTCAGTTCATGAACTGAGTTGTTAGGTTTGTCGTGGTTTAATATAATAAACCTATAAATATCTATTTTAATTCCTTCCCCCATTCCCTCTTATCATTGCCATACTTTACCTATCTCTCACACTTTGCTCACATACACACCCAAGGCAATATTATAGAATAGCCATGATAATCCATGATCAGATCAAAATGTACTTTTGATTTGCATCATAAAATGTGAATGATAATGAAAAAGACAACTGGTAAAGATTTATTGGTACAGATTTCTGATTTTGCAGGAAGATGACATCCATCATTATTCATGATGTAGAACCTATATTTTTCAACCTGACAGTATCAGGCTGATGAAATATGCATTCAAAGCATAGTAGCAAAGCTGAGAAAAAAATTTAAAAACACATTATTTCAATCCTGTTCACTGAAAAAATGAACATTCCTGCATTTATTAAGAAATGTGTATGTGTCAAGGACTTGAACTTGTGATTAGCCAGAAAGATAACCACAATTGACCTTTTATTAAAAACAAAACTAAGTTATCCCCTAGGGTGAGATTTTAAATTATTATATATTATATAAAAATATTTTTTTATTTTTCTCAATTATACTTGAATAAAACTTTAAGATTGAAGTACACATGTAAATGAGTTGTCCGTTTCTTATTTCTGAGGCAACCATATTTAACTTATACCTGTTTATTCTCATATTTACCCTTAAGATGCTCATACTGTTCTTTATTATTTAATGATAGAAATTATTTGTTGTACATTTACTACAGAATATAAGTATTGGCCTATTGTGTCCCACCATCCCATATATTTCACTAATGAACTCTCAATACAGTTATATAATAATGATTATATCAGTGTTAAATGTCAATGCAAAACATAAGGCAAGTTCATAAATTCATACGAAGCCAAAAATTGAATAAAAAAAAAAAGACATTGGGAACTTGAAAAGGATTGTCTTGCATTTATAGAAAAGTAGGAGGGAATTGATATCTTTATAGTATTACATTTAGTGATCCATGACAGCATAGTCTGACATTATTTAAAAATTGATATATTTGTTTGTTGATAGTGAATCAAAATCAGTTGACCTTTGTATTGTTAAAAAACAAAATTTAAACAAGTAAATTTGAAAATCTAATTCACTTTGTTAAGCCATTTATGAATCAGGCAGCATCCCATCTAGCAAGTAGGAAGGAGCACCAAGAGCTCCTGCCTGTAAAATGGAAGGATTTTATAGGCAGACAAGGGGAGGGAGAATTAGTAAAAAAAAAAAAGAAAGAAAGAAAGAAAGAAAGAAAGAAAGAAAGAAAGAAAGAAAGAAAGAAAGAAAGAAAGAAAGAAAAGAAAAAAAAAGAGAAAGTATTGTTTGAGGCAGGATCACCTTCCTTTAGGAGGAAGGGCAAGAGGCCTTAGCAGATGGATTACTTCATCTTCCTTTGGGGGTTGGAGAAGGCCCATGTGACAGATTACCTCCATGGTGCTGACCAGAAAACTTCTGTCTATTTAAGACTGTATTTTTGAGAGAGTTTGAAATTGCAATTAGATTAGGTATTAAGCTCTGATTTGGTGATAACCTAACATATATGACTCCATTTTGGGCCTATGGTTTTCTTTCTAACAGTGTATTGCTTTGTATCTATACTATTTCATGCTGAACTCCCTTAGTAACTCAACTGGTAATGTCTCATGTAATAATGTCTATAGATTCCCAAGGATTTTCTATGCTCAAAATTATCTTATCTCTTGTGAGATCTACATTGCTCATCAGTGTTGTGAATGTTTGTTATGATTAAGGGTAATTTGGGGACAGATGCATACATTTAATGCTAAGCTCAGGAATCTAGAGCAACATTTCTGAAACTGAATTCTTGATCCCCCATGAAGTATTAGGTGAAATGTATTCTTTGATCATATAAATATAGGCATTTTACAAACTTTCAAAAAAAATTATCTTATCTCTGAATAATGACAGTTTCATTTCTTCTTTCAATTCTTGGGCATTTTATTAGCTCTTTTCTTGCCTTATTGCAATAAGACCTGACGAAAGATTAAGGAAAATGAGATAGTAGACATTTTTGTCTCATTTCTGATCTCAGAGAGAAATGTCTTAATAAATCACCATTAACGATGATGTTTCTTAAAGATATTTCTATATCCTCTTTCTAATATGAAGATACTCTTTTGTATACTCAGTTTTCTATGAATTTTTATCAAATGTATTTTATTAAATTCATCTTTGCATCTATTTAAATGACTACATATTTTTTTCATTTTTAAACCTTTTTTTTCTACCTTTAATGTGATGAAATACATTATTTTTTCCTGCATGTGAGTGGGTGAATTTTATTGTTCTGTGCTCAAGTTTACTGATTCTAACTTCTGTCATCTTCGCTGTATTATTGAGCCAATCCAATATGTTTTTTTTTAATTTATGTTAATGCTGTTTTTAGTTCTATAGTTCTATTTGGTTCTTTTTCACAATTTGCATTTCTTTGCTGAGATTTTGTAATTTTTCATTTGATTCAAGAGACTGTAATTTCTTGCTAAACATTTTTATTAAGGTGGCTTTAAAACCTTATCAGATAATACCAGTTTGTAATTCATCTAGTTGGAATTAGCTATATTTTCTCATTCAAATTGTGATTTTTCTGGTTTTTAGTGAGATGTGTTATTTTATTGTATCTTAGCCGCCTTGCTTATTATGTTGAGCCTGTGGTTCTTATGTAAGACTTTGTTTTTTTTTTTTCTTTTTAGCAGGAATTCACTCTATTTACCATACAGGTTCTAGCCTAATTTTGTGGACTGTGGTTCCATCGACAATATACTTTTTAGAGCCTGTTTGGCTTCTTTGGTCTAATTGATTTCCCACTGTTCCTTGCTGATGCTGTTTGAGGAGGTGGAAGGAGATTTCTCAGGCTGGGCCCCCTTGTGCCACTAAGTGGACAAAGGGACTCTTTATCCTCCAGTGGGTAGAAATCCCTCTGTTGGGTGGGAGCATCTAAAACACCCCTCCTCTGTGCTGCTCCATCAGTCCTGGGATTCCTAACTAGTTCTTCTTTTCTCTTTCTACCTGTCAGAGTTTGACTTGCATTTCAGTTGTATCTTGCAGGTTTTTGAGTGTTTATAGTTACTGAAGAGGAGCAGGGGAAGATGAAGCCAATCCATCTTCTCCAGCCCCAAAGTCATTCTAAATCCTTTTGATAGCCAATTCTCTAATTACTGGAGGTGGAGCATTTTTTTCTAGATGTTTAGTCACAAGCTGTATCCCCATGTTTAATAACTGTCTCTTCACTAATTATTCGTAATTCTCCTCTTAGCTGATGTGAGATTTCAAAACTATAAATATGCCTATATCTTTTCTACGTATGTTTGTTATAGATAACTCCTCAGCTTCCTGTACTTCTTCTAGTATTTCTTACAATTGTTTTGATACAATTTTTGAAGAAATTGACATTATTTTAACTGGTAGAATTAGACCTATTCTATAATTTGAAAAGTGTTGAGAGTTGATGATAACAGTCTCCACCATTATTCCAAGTTTGCAGGGAAAGGAGAATAAAATATGCAATGATATAATAGGAAAATAATACCTATTTATTTATTTATTTTTTTTTTTGCAAAAGTGCTTGACTGAATTGGGCCAATTTTGTTTAATGTGAATTAGCTCATTCATCAGCATCTGCAGGGTCATTTATTTTTATATCTCCAAGTAGTGTATAATAGAGGTTCAGTAAATATTATTAAATTAATGACACAGTGGCTTGAGCACTACATCTTTCTGTAGATGTCATAATCTTTCATATTGCCTAATACACACCAAATACTAAGAGACCTCTATAAATATGAATGGAAGATGATGACACTGTGAGTGAACAGGGGACCACCGAATGTCGGGAAGAGGAAGAACATGATGGCTGTATTCCTACAATGTTACATAATTCATTCCCCCTATCTTGAATAAAATGTTTCTGACCACTACGGAAAAAAGAGGGGTGGAAAAGACAACGAATCATTTCAAGGTTTTGCAATCATATAAAATACTTTGTGCCCATAGCAATAAAGTATCATTTTCCTTCGGTTTTATTTTAGGTTCAGGTGCTTCGGAACGCTGGAGAAGAAGTGACCCTAACAGTGTCATTTTTAAAAAGAGCACCTGCTTTCCTCAAACTCCCACTGAATGAAGATTGTGCATGTAAGCATTTATGAAGTATAGGTAAAATGCTCACATCATCATATTTATTTTCTAAACCATTATCTCCTGACAGTAATTGGTAATTTTTTAAAAGTTGGAATTTCTGCTTGAATACAAATATTTTTATATCACAAAGCATTCTATGAATGCTTATGCAAAGGGAGCAGATGTTATTTTTGTTTCAGAATGTATTCACATTTACAGTTATTTGCTAACCTATAATTGGAGACATTTATTGTAAAAATAGTATCATATCAACTACATACATTTTGTATCTCTATTATATTTCATTCATAATATTTGATTAATATATTTTCTCTAACTTGTAGAATTATATACTGTTATTTAGCTACTGGACTTAATTAACAAGCACTTACACTTAAGTTGTCCTGATGAGGCTAGGGAGATTGAAGAAAGCACCAGTCTATGTGGAAACTCCTAAGGGTTACTTAAAAATCTCTGTATCAGTTTCTACATTAAGAAATAAAATATCATCTAACATTTTTGCTAAAAATCAAAGAAGAGTATATCTTTGAGGCATAATTTGCATGCAATGAAATGCAAAGCTACTAAATGAACAATTGGATTGGTTCTGACAATGCACACATTTGCTTAATTTACATGCCTTTAAATCACAGAAAGGTCCTTCTGTGCCTCTTCCCAATAAATAACACCCACAGATTTAATTTCTTAGCATCATATTTCTTTTTGCTTCTTCTAGAACATTTTTAGAATGGAATTATATTGTATTTACTCTTTTATGTCTGGCTTCTTTCATAATGAAAATCACTTGTGTGATTTTCAGATGTTTGTTCATTTACATTGCTGTGTAATATTCCATTAGATGAATATACTGAAATTTGCTAATCATTCTCCTATTGATAGATAACAGAGCTGTTTCCTGTAGTTTGGTACTATAAATAAAGCTATTATGAACATTCTTGTGTAAGGCTTTTGAAAGTCTTCCAATTTTATGTCACTACCATAAGTACCTAGGAGTGGAATTGCTAAGTCACCAGGTAGATATATAATTAACTTGTTAACTAATTGCCAAAAAATATTTTTTTTTAAAGATTTTATTTATTTATTTGAGAGAGAGAGAATGAGAGAGAGAACACATGAGAGGGGATAGGGTCAGAGGACGAAGCAGACTCCCTGCCGAGCAGGGAGCCCGATGCGGGACTCGATCCCAGGACTCCAGGATCATGACCTGAGCCGAAGGCAGTCGCTTAACCAACTGAGCCACCCAGGCGCCCCCAAAAAATATTTCTAAATTGGACATATATTTAAAAACCTCTTACTCTCCACTCCAGCAATGTATGAGAATTCCGGTTGCTCTACACTTATCCCTATATTTTATGATCAAAGATTTTTTTTTTTTTAGATATTCTATTGAGTGTGCAGAGGTAGTTTATTATAGTTATAATTTGCATTTCCCTGAAGACTAATTATGATCAGCTCCTTATCATGTACCATTTGCATTCATTATTAGAGATTTGCATATATTATTTTGTAAGGTGTCTGCTCAAGTTTTGCCCATTTTTCTATTGGTATGTCTTTATATAATTGTACTGCAGGAGTTTAAGAAAAGATTCTGTATATAATCTTTGTCAGCTATATGTATCACAAATATTTTCTCTCAGTCTATACATAACTACATATTTTACCTAAAAGTGTCTTAGGTTTGCAGAAGTTTTTAATTTTGACAAAGTCTAATTTACTATTTTGTTGTTTTTCTTTTGCATATGGTTATTGTTTTCTATATCTTCTCTAGAAGATATTTCTATAAGAAATACTTGCCTACTCCAAGGTTGCAAGGAGATTCTCCCACATTTTTCCTAGAAGCTTTATGACATTGGGTTTTATGTTTAAGTTTAGAATCCATCTTATATTAATTAACTTTTGTGTCTGAGCTAGGAATTTAGAATCAAGAAATGACTTTCTTATTTCCATTAATTTTTGTGTCTATTTTTTCACCATAACTACAGTGTTGATCACCAAGGATAGGTTTTCCAATTTTGCAATTTTTCAAGATTATTTACCTATTGTAGACCCTTTACATTACTGTGTATATTTTAAAAATAGCACATCAGGGGCGCCTGGGTGGCTCAGTTGGTTAAGCGACTGCCTTCAGCTCAGGTCATGATCCTGGAGTCCCAGGATCGAGTCCCGCATCGGGCTCCCTGCTCGGCAGGGAGTCTGCTTCTCCCTCTGACCCTCCTCCCTCTCATGCTCTCTGTCTCTCATTCTCTCTGTCTCAAATAAATAAATAAAATCTTTAAAAAAAATAATAGCACGTCAATTTCTACAAAATCCAATTATGATTCTGAATGGGACTAAGTTGGATTTATAGATAATTTTGAGAATTAACATATTAACAACTTTAAATCTTTCAATCCATGAACATGATATAACTTTCTATTTATTTATGTTTTAATTTTTCTCAGCAACATTTTAGTGTTTTCAGTGGGAAAGTCATGTGTATCTTTTATTAAATTTATTTCTAAGCATTTTTTATTCTACTGTAAATGGTATTTTAAAAAATTTAATTGTCCAGTTATTGTGGCTAATGCATAGAAGTACAGTTTATTTTTATACATACACTTATTCTGCATCATAGGCTTAAATTTCTATTAGTTCTGTAGGATTTTTGTTATATTCTTTAACACTTTCTACTTGCAGTTATGCTATTTGCAAATAATGAATTCTGCTTCTTTCTTTCCAATCTATATTTTTTAAATTCCTTTTTCTTGCCCATTGCAATGGTTAGGACTTCCAGTAAAATGTTATGTAAAGTACTGAGAATAGACATCTTTTTCTTGCTGAAGATATTAGAGGAGAAATTTCCAGTCTTTTACCATTAAGTATTATATTAGCTGTAGTTGCTCACACATGCCCTTTATTAGGTTGATGTTCTTTTATTCCTGGGTTACTGGGTTAAGCGTCTGCCTTCTGCTCAGGTCATGATCCCAGAGTCCTGCTCAAGATTAGGGAACATTGGGCTCCTTTCTCAGTGGGCAGTCTGCTTCTCCCTCTCCCTCCGCCCTTCCCCCCTGCTCGTGCTCTCTCTCTCTCTTTCGCTCTCTCTCAAATAAATAAATATATAAACAAATAAGAAAAACTTAAAAAAAGTGTTCATGAGGGATATTCATATGTACATTTTTGTAAAGTTTTAGTGCAATTTTGGTACCAGGGTTTTTAATGTCTTCATGTAACTTCTGGAGTGGTAACTCCTTTATTTCCACAAAGGTGTTACTTACCAGTAGTAATATATTTTTCTTTCTTTTTTTTTTTTAAAGATTTTATTTATTCATCTGAGAGAGAGAGAATGAGAGACAGAGAGCATGAGAAGGAGGAGGGTCAGAGGGAGAAGCAGACTGCCCGATGAGCAGGGAGCCCGATGTGGGACTTGATCCCGGGACTCCAGGATCATGACCTGAGCTGAAGGCAGTTGCTTAACCAACCGAGCCACCCAGGCACCCCAGTAATATATTTTTCTTAAATAATTTAATAAATTCACCAAAAGGCAACAACACCTTAGAATTATAATTTTTATTTTGTATGAATTCATCTCTTGAATTCTTATAGGACTTTTTCTGAGAATTTTTCTTCTTATATAAGTTTTGGTAAAATGTTTTTCAAGACTTTTTTTTTCCATTTTAACTAAGTTATGAATTTATTTACATGAAATTATTCATCATATCCTTTTATCATTTCTATTAATATTTGCTGGCTTGCAGTAATACCACCTTCTTCATTCCTGATATTAATAACTTGTATTTTCTCACTCTTTTACTACATTATTTTTGCTATGAGCTTTATTAATCTTTCCAAAGAACCCATTTTTGTCTTGGTTAATTTTGTCTATTATTTTGTTCAGATTCTTACTATTTTCCACTTCTTTTTTATTATTTTCTGTCTTCTTTACTTTGATTTAATTTGCTCTTTCATCTCTAACTTCTTAAGATGAAACTATAGATCATTGTGTTTGTACCTTTCTTTTATGTATACATTTAAATCTTTGAATTTCTTTTTTTAATTTTTTAAAATTTTATTTTATTATGTTATGTTAATCACCATACATTACATCATTAGTTTTTGATGTAGTGTTCCATGATTCATTGTTTGCGTATAACACCCAGTGCTCTATTCAATACGTGCCCTCTTTAATACCCATCACCAGGCTACCTCATCCTCCCACCCCCTTCCTCTCTAGAACCCTCAGTTTGTTTCTCAGAGTCCATAGTCTCATGGTTCGTCTCCCCCTCCGATTCCCTCCTCTTCATTTTTCCCTTCCTGCTATCTTCTTTGTTTTTTTAATTTTAACATATAATGTATTATTTGTTTCATAGGTACAGGTCTGTGATTCAACAGTCTTAGACAATTCACAGAGCTTTGAATTTCACTCAAAAGACTGCTTTGGATCTGTCACAAAACTTGACATATCATTTTATTCTGTTCAAAATGTATATACATTTTAAAGTAATATGTTTATATATTAAAATATTGTCTCATAAGAGATAAATGCAGATAAATATCAGAGGAAAAAATTATCTAAAACACAGTATGAAATTGTTAAGATTTAAAAAGTGAAAAACTATAAGAAAAAAAAGTGAAAAACTATATTCATGCTAGTTTGGTAGAAAAGCCTGTGATCCCCTTCTTAACACCAGGAAAGCTATGAAACTTTAGAGTGATTAAAAAGGAGAACAAAATCACTTTTATTTTTCAACACTTTAATTTTAAGAGTGTTACCTATGACCTCTGATGTTTTAAGTATAATATCTCAAGTAAAAATTGAGAGTCAATTATGTTAATAATGCATATTTATCAATATCAGCACCTTCAAAATACATAACGTTTTCCAAAAAAAGCAATTAACCAAAAATCAAGAAATATGTATTCTAATCCTAACTGCAAAAATTGCTGAATTGTGAAATCTGTTTAAGACATATGATACTCATATTTAGAGATAGATATTAATAAGTTTCTTATGAGAATCTGATATGAAGATTTTTAGTTTCAATCTCACCAATTTACATAGCATGAATGAAGTCATTTCTAACTATAGCATATACCAAGAGCATTTGTAAAGAGCCCATACACACTTTTTTTGCATCATGGAAAATTATGGAATCTAAAAATATGACTTGTCAGTAGGTTGAAACATAACAATAAATAGAATTTTGTAGACAAACCGAATTCTGCACAATTATAAGTATGGTTCATAAGTGTAGGCCACTTTGGATAGTGAAATGAAATAATAATTTTATAAGGTTATATGTTTTTATTAATAAAGCCTTGCAATATATCTGAACTCAAAGATCAATACATGGTTCTCTTTCAAGGTCCCACTTTAGTCACTTAGCCTACTTGCAAAACTCTGGCTTTCATATAAGTGAAATAAAAATTAATTTTACTGCCTGATTTTCTTGACATTACTGAGTATATGGAAAGATATAATGTAGAATGCATCAGTCTAGAACATTTTGGTGTTCTAACCAGTGGGGTGTTGTGATTTTTTTCCTGCAGGTGCTCCAAGTGACCAGAGCAGTGGCACCTCCTCTCCACTTTGTGACAGTGGCTTGCATCTCAACTATCATCCCAACAATACAGTAAGATGACCAAGGCATAGCTCAGATTAATAAGGAGATAACACAAAGAAAAGAGTAATATATAAAATATATATTGAATATATATATATTATCTATGTGAATAGTCATAGTTTGCAAAAACTGCTAATGAATCTCGTTGCTCTGATATAGTTGAGATCCTTGTTTGCTTCATCCTTTAAGAGTTAGGATTTAAGATAAGCCAGGAAAGAAAAAATAAATAAATATTTTTAATGTCATTTTTCTCCTCTCAAGTCTGCATTAAGCCTTTTGCAAGCTATAGAGACTTAACTTAGGGAGTTCACACATAACATCACATAATCATTTTATAACAGTGTACATTGTATGTAATTTCATGCTCTAAATGATTTGACATGATTTTTATCATTTTTCTTTTGAAATCATTTAGCTGACAGTAGCTATTTAATTTTCCATTTGGTAGGATTTCTAAACAATCTGCAGACATACCAGGAAATTAATGCAAAGAGAGAATAATCTAACATCATGTTAAAATGTCACAAATGTTAAATTATACATGTATTTAATCATTGATAAAATTGGCATGTTTGTTTTATATACATTTAATAAAATGTTAAATTTTCTTTTCCACATGTAATGTGGAGTAAACAGATTTTTTTTTGCTTTTTGGATTTTTTTTTTATAAATATGTTTGAAACTCCTTATATTTCACCCTTCAAAACACTCACACATGCTAAAGACAAAACAGTTTTTTCAGGTTATATGTGAATCTAACAAATTTCCTCTGGGATCACAAACATGGAGAGTAGCAGTAGTGCTGATATTAAGTAGAATTTTATTTTTCTATTCTACATATTAGGATATGTAAAAAACACACATAGCTTCTGACTTAAAAGATTCATCTTTCACTTGAAATTCTTGACCTAATTGTGGCATTTTACCTCAAAGTACTCCTTTTGAGCATCTCCAGCCTTCATTGTACCTCAGTGCACCAGTAGTATCCCTTACCTGTGTGCCTTAGGTACCCAAGTCCTTTTAAATTTTATTATTTCTTTGTTCCTAAAGAGGAATCCTTGGCAAGACCAAGGTTTATCTCTACCCTCATAAACCAACCACATCTGGGTGTATTTCATCTGATCTCTTTTATTTTTGTTGCCAGAGAAATAATTGTCACATTATAGATAATACTTAAATTAACACTGATCTTCAGAAGAGGGCAAGGTCTGACTTAAACATCAATTTCCTAATGAATCAATGAATATATACATTCTGTACTGACGCTAGCAAGCTTCTTAATTCTACAGACTTCTTACAATCTCCAGCCAAATCTTTACCTCTTACTTCAGAAACTGCTCACCTTCTTTCCTTACAATCTAGATGCTCTCGGTGCTTTTGACGCCTTTCCAGTCCGCTTTACTGGGCGGACCTACCCCCGGCTGCTGTGAGTGCTGGTTACCCAACCCCCCGTCCCCAACCCACCCCATTCACTGATGACCTCTCTGGAATCACCACCCCCTCCCAGGTGATGGCTGCAGCCAACAACTTGAGACCTTCAGGAGCCCACATCTCTGGCAAGGTTGTTCCTTGTCTCATCCACTGCTTCCCTCATTCCTCACATGTTTCTCCTGAGAAATTTCCCTTCACATATCATTGACACAAAAGTCCCATCTCAGCTCTGCTCCTCAGACAGGAAAGGAGCGCTCTTTTATTTCAGAATGGGGGGAAACTGTTTAGTCATATTTTTATTCTAATTCTTGACCTATTACCTTTGGACTCCTCTATAATAATTAGAAGTAGAGAAGTCAGTATGGAAGGGCTATAGCTAAAAATCAGTCTAGTTTGTTTTTAACTCATCTTGTTGACATACATGAAAACATCTGTGGATTTAATTTCATGAACCATGCCTCTATGTTGTTGTTTGCTATCATGTCCTCCTTTAGAAAGGTATAATTAAGCAATAAGATCACTGAGTAATTCTATAACATGACTGTTCCAAGTAAATCCCTCTCTATAAAATTTAAAAAAAAAAGTAAATTTCCCTTATAGGAATTATGTCTTTCTATTTTCAAGATGGATTTTTACTTTCATTTTTAGCATTAGGATTGAACATTATTTTGACATTGCCGAAGATCTTTAAAAAGGTGCAGGGTAAGTCATGATATTTATCAAATTTTAGAGAATAAGAGCCAAGACATATGTAAATTGAAATAAAGTATACTAAAAATTTAAAAAAAATCAATGTACTTCAATTAAATGAATTTTTACTGAGAATCTGCTTTGTGCAAACACTCTTCTAGATACCATGGGGAGAAGTTAATTGTGTGTCCTGACCCAAAAAGTTTAAAATTCAGATCTATAGACAAATGCATAAAATTAACTATAATAGAAACAGAAAAAAACAATGGATATTAGCATTCTGATATCAGAGGAAAGGGCTACTCAGGACTTTGAATATCTGATTTAATTGAGCTCAACAAAAATTGAGGGACTACGAACCAAATCTTTGTTCTAATGCCTATAAGAGAGTAAGTCTTCAGGCCCCATCAGGCCCCATTACCTGTCCAGTGCTATCCCGTATTCCTCTTCTGTATGGTGATAGGCTTGGAGGCAGGTATGGAGAGTGAAGGACATTTCTACTCAGAGATTTATAAAATTAGGAGCAATCAAAGGCATGTTTTCTTCTGACCCATCACTAAATAACAATGAACAGGGGGAAATGGGAAGGAAGTATGAATTTAGAAACATATTTTTCCACAGAATGTGTGCACACTATAAACAGTCTCCTTAAGGGAAACATTTAATTCTCTGATGGGTCTAAATCCTCAATTCTATCCTGGACCCAGGTAACTCCATTTTTTAATTCCTAAGCCTTAATTATTCTCTGAAGCAAATTTTGCGTAAGTAGGCACTCTTTTGTTTTCTGAAACAGCATTTTAAGCATATAGGAAAATATATTAACATCACTCCACCATCTTACTAAAAATATGGTCTAGTCCTTCTAGGTTGCCAATTTTAGGGTATACAAGAGTCCTGTGGTTTGCACCCATTGTGGAAGAACAGAATTTGTTTTGTGCTCACCAGGAGCCTTAAATTCAGATAATTAGCTAACCGGATTCTGAGAAACATTTTTCTTAACTGTATACCTTTAATGAATACTTTTTATGCCAAGTCCTCACAAAATCTGGATCAGCATTTTGCTCTATATTCAATTCTATTTTGGTATAATCATTGTTCTTGAGGTTATTGTGTGGCAATATACCTGAAATGTGTTAAGTTTGGGGAAAATAATCTATTTTAAGGCAAAGACTATGTAAATTTTATTTTTCCCATTCACATTATTACTATTCTAGGAAGCAACATTCTTGACATTGAAGAATAAAGCTCTTGAAAAGTAGTTATGAGCCTTAAAACTGTAAAAACCATTTTTTTAGCTCATTTATATATATAATTAAAAATAACTAAGACCATTGTTAAAGAAAAAACTAGAAAGCAAATTTATATTCAATTTTCATAATTAAATAAGGATAAATAATCGTCAAAGGACATTATAAATAACATCTGTAAAATGAAATACATTAATGCTGATTGGCTCAATAGCTGAAATGGGACTTATTTCATATTTTTTATAAGGAGAAAACATAAAATAAAGTGACATTTGACAACTTTGTTTCATAAAAGTATCAAGTTGAGATGTTACATCAAGGACACATCAAAGATCACATGTATTTTCATATATTTCATATTTCATATAAGACTATGAAGTCTTATAAAACATGATTTCTAAAACTTACCTATTAGTGATTATCATTGTCCTCAATATTCCATTGTGTAAGTCTTTTATCTTCTGTTACACTTTCTATGTCATTTGTTCATGGAACATATAAAGTGAGGGGAACTATTTGTGTTTTTCAAGAAAGATGAAGAACCATCTTTAAATAATTTGCCAAAAATCACAGCAAAATTGTGAAATAATCAAGACAAAAATCTGAATTATTCTTTGCGTGGTTTCACCTCTGACTATGAATGGTAAATGTTGTGCTATAATAGATATGATGGCCCTAGAATCATAGAGACTTTTAGGTCTGAATGAATCTGCCTGGCACTGTCATTTGCAGGCTGGCTGACCTGAGCCATTTATTTACTGTAAAACTTCTCAGGAGAGAACCATGTGCACTGGGGTCCTTTGAGTAGGTTCCAGACATAATGCTTAATAGTTTAGGGCAGCTTGGTGGGACCTGGGACACTTAACACTTGCTACAGTCTGTTCTGGTCACAGAAACCTAGTCTGTTTACCCTAGTGTGTCACTCAGGATTATTGTTTCTTCAAGTGCCTTCATGCAAAAAAGGTGGAGAAACAATAATTTACTGAGCCTAAAAAAGCTTCAGGTTTTTCTTTTGTGAGAAGAAGCCTTGTGATAGCCTTATCTTTGGAGATAAGCACAATAAAGTACCAAGAGTTTAAATAAATTGCCCCTAGGTTAAAGGACTAGTCAGTTGGGAAATTGGCATTTTTGAACCCAGGTGGTCTGATTTTGATTCAAACCCTGAATCTTCCCCACTTTGTGGCACTGCCACCTAACTGACTCCGTTTCAAATGTTGACCATCTATAACATATGACATCAAGGCCAGAAAGATCAACATGAAACCTATGTCTGTGCCTTTGCAATCACCAAATAAGCATGAAAGGCACCGGTGTTGCATCAAAGGCTAGGGGTCTTGGAGACCAATCACCAGTCAGGGGCCCCTCATTGAATGGTCTTTGCAAGTCTACCTTGCCTTCCTACCAGCTGGATCAGCATTTTGCTCTATATTCAATTCTATTTTGAATTCCTACCAGCTGTTCTCAACAACTCGAAGGATTTAGTAGATTTTTATTGGCACAATTGGTACCAATAACATAATAATGCCAAAGAGCACTCAACTTTCAGTGAAAAATAATGGAAGTTTTTTTCCCCTAAGCAATTTTGAAGAAATTAATATCTTAAAGAAAATCTTAGGGGCACCTAACTGGCTCACTTGGTGGAACATGTGATTCTTGATCTCGGGGTTGTGGGTTCTGCCCCCATGTTGGGTGTAGAGATTACTTAAAAGTAAAATCATTTTAAAAAAAGAAAATGTTAATAATAATGTTGATACTAATGGAGTTTTAACATCTAGACTAAAATAGGATTTCCTTCCAATATCATCACTCAAAAATTATAGAATCTATAGATATAAATAAATGAAATTGTGCCTTGGGCCCTTACAATCCATGCCAACTTAAATATCAACATTATTCCATATACTACTTCCAGGAAGAAATATTAAAGTAAAGCTGAAATAATGTAAGAAGTATGAATCATCATCAAGTGTGAAAAGCCCAAATTTTATTCAAAAAGATGTTTCTTCTATATGTAAGGAAAAAGACCCAAACTTCCAATGAAACTTAAAATGTATGTAATTTTAAACCAGCACTGGTTGATTTCACATGACTTTAAAACAATATAAGAAAATACAAAGATTTTCTAAACATGACGTTACAACAATAGACAAAGATTTCCTTGAGTAGTTTTTAAAATTTGTTTTGTAAGAATATTTATTCTACTCAATATTTACAAGTAACTGATAAATCACAAACAGTTACATAACATTGTTTAGTGCTTAGCAGATACTCAGAAAATATTGGCTAATGGAATGAACTACAACTTATTTTTATATTGTCACTTACTACTTCATTGCAGTTACAGCTTGCCCCTTATTTCCCATTCCTGAATGAATTCAGTTCTTTCATCCTTCTATATTTTTCTTCCTTCTCCCCACTCCATTTTTTCCATATGCTTTCCCTACCATTCTTAATCTCAATGATTCCCTTCTCACTTTCCTATAGAATGCCATTAATAAAGAAATTAACGGATGCAACTTTATTGGCAATGAATATGGATCCCTTTTTGAGGTAGTCTATAAATGTCTTTTGATTATTTAGGAGAAAAAATGATCCCCTCCAAATGAAAAGTATTTGTGACATAGGAACTCAAAACACAGAACTGAAAAAAAGAAGACTGATTGTTTGTATTCTTTTCAGGACACACTGTCATGTTCTTCTTGGCCAACATCTCCAGGCTTGAGATGGGAAAAGCGATGGTGTGACCTTAGGCTGATCCCGCTGCTTCATTCACGTTTCTCTCAGTATGTGCCTGGGACAGATTTGAGTCGGTGAGTTCATGCTAGTAGATTCTGATTTTCTGTTCACTGCAAAGAGGCCTACAACTAAACTTTTAACATAATATGGTTTATGACTTTTATTCTCACCACATTTCTAATAGTAGAAAGAAATACAAAAAAAATAGTATAACACAGTAAAACATTTATGAATCCAATGACACAAAACATTAAGTTAAGGCCCTGACTCTACTAACTTGCTGTAATAGATTCAGTGTCTTTATATACTTTTTTAAAGATTTTATTTATTTATTTGAGAGAGAGGATGAGAGAGAGAGAGAGACTGAGGCAAGGGGAGGGTCAGAGGGAGAAGCAGACTCCCTGCTGAGCAGGGAGCCTGATTTGGGACTCGATACTGGGACTCCAAGACCATGACCAGAGTTGAAGGCAGTCATTTAACCAACTGAGCCACCCAGGCCCCCAATTTGGTGTCCTTAATAGATAGAGTTTTATTTTTTTTTTAATTTATTTCTTATCTTAGCTTTAGTAAATTTTTTTTTTCAAGGAAATTGTATAGTTCATTTAGATAGCAAACTTTATTTTCATGCACTTGATAATATTCTCATATTATCTTTTTAAATAAGTGTAGATTATTAGCAATGTCCTGAAGCTCTTTATTATGTGTCTTATAAATAATGAGTTTCTTCTTCTTTCTTGATTGTTTTCATTCCTTAAATTCTTTGGCTTGACATTTTGTTTTTATAGTTTCTTGAGATCGATGTTCTAGGTGTCCTGAAACTTTTCTGTAACAAGTGGTATAGTAAATATTTTAGGCTTTGCAGGCCTAATTTCTCTGTAACAACTATTGAATTCTGCCTTTGTTTCATAAAAACTGCCATACACAAAATATAAATTAATGTGTATGGCTGTATTCCAATAAAACTTTATTTATAAAAACAGGTGTCAGGCGAGACTTGGTCTGTAAGCCATGGTTTCCTAACCTTTGGTTTGATCATTAATTGTTCAGACTTTCTTTGCTAATTTATGTAGTCAGAACTGCACATTTTCATCAAAGTCTGCTCTAGCTATACCCAGAAATTCAGGTTTATATCTTGATGTATTTACATAGCTTTTCAGTATATCATTTAATATAGTTTTCTGAGTGGTTGCTCAAGGCACTACAACATACATACATATCTTATCACACCACTGTATTGACGATTTATCACTTTGAATGAAGTATAGTTAGGTCCTTTAATCCCCCCCCTTTTTAAGCATAATTATCTTAATTTCTTCTATATATATCAAGCACCATATCAGGTGGTATTATGATTTTTGCTTTAATCAAAAATGATCTTAAAAACTTATGGACAGAAGGATAGTTTATTATATTTAACCCAGGATTTACCTGTTCCAATATTCTTCTTTCTTTCTAAAGTTTTAAGTCTTCTGTTAACATTTCCTTTCTATTTAAGTTTTTTTTTTTTTTTAGCCCTTCTTTAAAGGTAGATTTATTTGCATCAGATTCTCTTAATTTCCTTTGTCTGAAAATATCTTTTTTATCTTCATTCCTAAGGATAGTTTCCATGGATATAGAAATCAGGGTTGTCAATTCTTACCTTGTATCTGAAAAATGTCATGCACTGCCTTTGGGCCACCCTGATCATTCAAATTGTTGCTTCCCTATAAGTAATTTGTTCTTTCTTTGTTCTGGCTTGCAAAGTTGTTTTTTTTTTTTTTTTCTTTTTTCTTTTTCTTTCTTTCTTTCTTTTTTTTTTTTTTTAGTTTCCAGAAGTTTAATTATGATGTATCTTTGCATGGATTTCTTTGGGTTTATTCTCTCCTGGCTTCACTCAGCTTCTTAAATCTGTATGTTTATGACTTTTCAGCAAATGATGTTTTTCAGTCATTACTTCTTTAAAGATTTTTATTTATTTATTTGAGAGAGAGAGAAGGAGAGGGAGAGAACACATGAGAGGGGACAGGGTCAGAGGACGAAGCAGACTCCCTGCCGAGCAGGGAGCCTGATGCGGGACTCGATCCAGGGACTCCAGGATCATGACCTGAACCGAAGGCAGTTGCTTAATCAACTGAGCCACCCAGGCGTCCATCAGTCATTACTTCTTTAAATACTTTGTCGGTCCCAGTATCTTTTCTCTTCTGTCACTTTGTTAATACAATGTTAGTTCTTATATTATTCTTCCACAGATCCCTGAAAATTTATACTTTTGTTTTTCAATCAACTTTCTTTCTGCTATACAGACTGGGTAAATTCTATTGATTGGTCTTGAAGTTCTCTGATTCTATCTCCTCTTGTTTCCATTCTGCTATTGAATCCATTTGGCATGATTTTATTTTTTTTTGTTGATGTGTTTTTCAGTTCTATCATGTCCATTTGGAGTGTGTGTGTGTGTGTATTTTCTAATTTTTTATTTGTTTTAAGAACACTTGTAATTGCTTATTCAAGCATTTTTATGATGACTGCTTTAAAATACTTGTCAGATAATTTCAGTATCTCATTCATCTCAGTATTTGTGTGTTTGGATTGTCTTTTATCTTTCAAGTTGTGTTAAAACCAGTGATTTTTTAAAAATTTTATCCTGGACTTTTTGGGTATTAAATTATGAGACTCTGGATTCTTTTTAAATCTCCTTTTTAAAGCAAGTAATCCCTTTGTTGACATGTAATGTGAGGGCTGGGTGGGTGTGTATGTTAAGTTCCCTGAATGCCCACTCAAACTGCCTCATTAAAGATGACTGAAGTGTAAGTTTGCCACACTCCTCAGTCCCTCTGACTAAATCCTGGTGAAAGTCAGATGCCAACTGGATCATGCATTGCCTTTGAGTGGAGCGTCAGCTTATTTCCCTAGTTGACTCTACTGTCACCTGGGAAGGTAGAGGGACAGGACTGATGCATATTGCTTTATTGCTACAGGATGGGGTAGAGCTCAGCTCTCCATAGAGAGACCCTGCTGACAGAGAGGAGACCCTGCTGACAGAGACGGAGGGAAAGCTGAGGGCAAGGAGTCCCACCTCCCACCACCTCACTTCACCTTGGTGATGACAGATGGCAGTGGAGGCTAAGCTTCTGGCTAAGCCATGGTGGTTAGCATGGGAGGAAAGATAGAGTACTAACTCCATTTCATGCCACCTCACTCAGTTTAATTGCCACAGGGTGGGAATGGGGGTTAAGTTTCCCACTAGGCCCCAGTGACATTACCCCAAGGGAAATGGGAATGCTGCCTACTTCTTTTACATGGGGGATGGAAGATCAGCTTCCTGCATGGTCCCTTGAACAACACCAGGTGATGGAATCAGAGGAGGTGTAGAGGACTAGCTCCCTGCTTGGCCCTGCTGAAACCTGGAGGAAATGGAACAGTGGCTCCATTGATACTTGATTGTATTAGGGCAGGTTTCCAAAAAAGATTGAATGTGGTTAGCGCACTCATTCCCTAGTCCTTCAGGGAGAACAGACTTTATTGTAACCCTTTTTTTGTCTTGCTCTTAGTGATTCTGGGTTGCAGACTTCTAGAGCGCACTGTCTAAGATGTATGGGAGGCAGCAAGAAAACCCATGAGACTTACCACCTTGTCATTCCTCAAGTCCAAAGGTCCCTAGGCAATCAGCCTTATCCTTTTCATTTCAAGCGTCATCTATGCCTGTTGTTGGAGTATGTCCAAGGTTCATTAGTTGTGTCGGGGAGCATTTGAGAGAAATGGGGCTACTTTTTCTTGGCCAGAATTGGAAGTCCACAAGTGTTGATATTCATGAGGCTTTTTTTTTTTTTTTTTTTAGTATTCATTTAATGATATTTTCTAACTTTTGTTATAATTACTTCTTTGACTCATGGACTATATTTTAGATAAAAGTGTATTGCAAAATTTCAAAATATTTTTGGATTTTTCTAATTATTTCTTTTGTTATTGCTTTCCAGTATAATTTCATGCAGAATAATTTCAATCCTTTGATACTTGTTGAGACTTTATTTCATCCAGTGTATGAATAGTTCCAAATATTCAACATGCACTTAAAAGAATTGGTATTGTCATTTTCTTTAGTGCAGTATTGTACATATTTCAACTAGGTCATATTTGTTCATATTGAGAAAGATGCATTTCACTTTCCTACTATGATGGTGACTTTATGTGTTTCTCCTTTTTAGTGTGTCAATATTTATTGTATACATTTAATTTTACATTATTGGATATAAGCAGATTTAGAACCTTATGACTTTTTGATGTAATGTCAAAAATGTTATCATTATGAAATGTCCCATATCTCTGGAATTGTTTCTTGCTTTTGAGAATTGTTTCTTGCTTTCGAGAATTAGCTGAATATCTACCAGCTAATATTTACATTATATATTCTTTTATCTATTTCTTTCAACTTTCATAGTCTTACTCTACAAAGTGTGTCCTTTCTGAGCTGTATTTATTTTTCTTTTATTTCTTGTTTTAAATCCAAAATAACAATCTTAACCTTCCAGTTGGATTATTTAGTCTAGTTTATTGTAATTACTGGTATCTTTGGGATTATATCTACCATCTTAGTATTTGTTTTCTATTCAACCCTTTAGGTTTTTGTTTTTTATAATTAAACATTTTATCTTGAGATAATTGTATTTTCACATGCAGTTGTATGAAATAATACAGAGATTCTGTTTATTCTTTACCCATTTTCCCAAAAGGTAACTTCTTGAAAAACTATAGTACCATACCACACTCAGGAAATGGATAAAATCCACCATTCATTCAGATTTCACATGTGTGAGTGTGTGTGTGTAGCTCTATAGAATTTTTTCTCATGTTCACATTCTCTTATCCACAATCAAGAACAGTTCCTTGAGAACCATAAGAACCTTTCTGTTGCCCTTCTATAACCATGCCAATATCCTTCTCCCCAACATACCCCTGACCTCTGATAATTTATTAATCTATTCTTCACTTCTATTATTATGTCATTTTAAGAATATTATATAAATGAAATCTTATGTTATGTAACCTTAATGGATAGAATTTTCTTACTTAACATAATTCTCTAGTAATTATTCCAAGT